CTGGTTTTTATAGTCCCTAAATGTATGTACATCCAGGAAATGGGATTCAAATCGAAAACATTTTTCCCCATTTTGTGTCTGTCCCTATGAATGGGAGAAAGTGGCAATGCCATGCGCTCATAGACAATAAAAGAAAGGGAATCCGCTGGAAAAAAAATCCCGCCTTCTAACCTGATACAAGCTCTGGTTGCTATAGAAACAGTCAGTGTTCCGAGACACCTGCTCATGACTGCACATGCGCATTGGCTAGTCCAGCCTGAAAAATTACATTTTTTGTCATGATTTAAGATGGTGTTTAGAAAAAAATTGAGACAGTGGTTGTCAGATTTCATTGGTGATTTCAAACCACTCCACTCCATACAGCTCGATAAGCAGCGACAGTTTCACGGGATTGTACATTTTCTCTTGTCACCTATCCCTCTCATGAAGTCCGGGTAAGTTTTTTCCCGATGTGCCAAACTGCTAAAAATCTGTTCGCCTGCTAAAAAAAAAAAAATTGTCAATGGATGGACGTTATTTTAATGCCGTACGTTGTTTACAAATCACAAGATAAAATATGCCCGGTGCAAAATAACACCACTAGACCGTATACAGTTGGAACACATTTAGCTTTTTACATTATGCTACCACACAAAAACTGGTGATACAAATGTAATTTTTTTCATGTGATATTTCTTTTGTCTACTAAAGAAATTATGGTCAATAATAAATAGTTCACATTTTAGTTCATAAAGACATGACATGAAGTACTTTTGTTCCAATGTCAGGTACAGTTGAACTCAGTTCCCTTATACAGTTAAAACACATTTTTAATACTCTAAAGTAAACTGACATAATCAACTAATTTCAAATGTTAACATGTGTAACGGTGGCTGTTTCGGAGCTACAAGAGTAGGATCCAGATGCAGCAAACATTTATTCAAAGAAACATAATAAAAGTAAATCCAGGCACGGGCAAGTAAGGCAAACAAATCTATCACATCCATAGAGGAGAAACTCTGGGGTATTTTTACACAAGGGTGATTGGCAAACAAGACACACCTGGGAACAATCAGGAACTAATCAGGGTAACTATGGTAACAAACAAGGCAGGCAAGATAACAAGGGAAACAGAAATTGGACAAAGGCATGAACAGAAACAATAGAGAAAACACTATAAGAGAATATGAGAGTCCAATAAAAGACAGGGAAACAGGTAAGAATCGTAACAAAATGTCTTAAAATATATAATTCTACAAAAATAATTTCATTTCAGATCTTCATTGTATTCCTATTCTTTATTAGGCTATACAACGGATAGTTTGCTTTTCAACAGCAGAACATCCGAGAGTTAAAGGTGCTGTATGTAACTTTTTCACTCTAAAGCATAAAAATACCATAATATGTTTGCATATATTGAGGAAACATGCTAATGTCACATACTCGTTTCTCTGAAAAACACTTCTACAGCCAGTTATTTTACTTTGAAATGTGCATTTCCAGGCTGGAATGTTTGTTTTTGTTTTGGTCTGTGCAGTATCACGTTGCCTATTTTCATTGTCCATTGCGCTCGTTCCTGTTGCGTTTGCTCAAACTGGCAACCCGTGTGAGCGCCGTCCAGTCTGAGGAGCAGGTGGCGCGAGAAACGACGATTTCCGATATTTTGAATTGGACTGCAGTACCTAATTTTGTCATGCTTACAGACTGCGCCTTTAAATAGCCCATCGGTAAATCACTTAACAATTAAGATTAAGAGTTCAAATTAGGAATCGTTAATCTGTAAAACTTTGAACAACAGTTTTAAATTACAAAATCTTAAACAATTAAAAACAAAATAAATTCTCTCATGACAACTCTGCTGCTGCAGAGCAAGTATCGAGATGCTACAGCAAATACATTGCTGTGAGCATGTAAGACATGCTGCTGCACATGTGACATACATAAATTTACTCCGTAGCAGCTCTAAACAGGTGGGAAAGAGAGAGGGTTCTGAAAACGAGCTGTAGACTGTTAACAGCAAACTATGGCAAGTATTTGAATGTTTGAGCAGCAAGCTCATTGGCTGCTGATGCAACAGTAACCAATCAGCTGTGCTATGTAGATAACGACATGATTGCTACCAATCAGTTAAAGACCTATCAGCCTGCAGCATTCAGAGTTTCATGCCAGAACTGTAATAACATTCACTCAGTAAGTACTCACTCATTCACATACTCATTAATCAGTTTTCTTACTCAGTTACTAATTGTGGCGTTAGATGCAGTTGTTCTTCTCAAATGTCTAGGCCTTAACAGCATCCGAGACAATAGGATTCTACAGCAGGTACAGTGTGTTTCAACTAGCACTTTACAAATTATGTAAATTTTAGAGGACAGACTTAAAATCACAAACATCAAAGTTAAGTTTCACGGTCATAAAAAGACAAGAAGCTATATTCAATGTTGAAGGGAGGTAGTGAAGTGAAAATCTTACCCCTAAAGATAGACTTATCTTCAGATTAGAGAACCATATGTCCTTTAAATTTTTCCCAATTGAATAGGGCACTACTAAGCATGTGTGGAGCAAAAATCATGGATCACGTTTGATGCATACGCAAGTTATTTAACATGATTTAACTGTCCCTCTGTTTCAACTGTACACTGTCTACCCTACCAACAGAAATAATACCACTGTACCAATGGGCCATATGTCATTGATATTTCTAGGATTCTTAATTTTAATAATTTATTTTAATGTTTATTTTTATTATATTATGAGAATAGTCATATCCAAATAAAAAAAATAAAAAAAATAGAACTCTGGTTCGATTTAGGCTACTTCATTACTCACGGTAGCTTAATAATATGGCATTAATGAGCTCAGGCCATGTCATTTATGTCTAGCAATTACCTTTATTTTTTTTATTTTTTTTGTAAAGGCTTTTATTGCATGTTTTATGGCCAGGCAATGAGTGACATCAGTGCAAGAGAAAACAAACAAGTTTTTTGTTTTGGTCCTTCTGTCTTCCTTACCTTGAAGGGCAGGTTGACCCAGCTTGGGTTAGTTCAGTCAGATTGCATTATGCAGGGGTGCCTCTGAAAAGCCTTGAAGAATGAAGGAAAGCTGAACTCTCTGCAGGCAGGGTAGGAGATGAGTAGCTATTCTTCCTTATCATACACATCTCATTTTATTTATTCGAAATCAGGACCCATTTAAAACGTTTTATTGAGTCTGGTGTCAAAGAACTTGACTGGCCTGCACAACACTGTTTTGTGATACTGTCATGGCAGCAAAGGCAGAATCAACTCCCTATTAATGGTTTTAAAAGTGCATTTCTGTGTAAACTGGTCCATAATTTTACTAAGAAAACCTGTGACCCTTTTTCACTGGATTTATTCAAGTTAGAGAGCCATTTTTATGTATCTGTTTTTCTCCTTCACTTTCACTTTTAATATGCATAATTGTATTGAGAGAAGTGAATCATCATTGTCTGACTGTTCCGGTAATAAAGAAAACTATTCAGTTCCCTAAAATTCCAGCAAAAGGTCTGGATGTTTGAAAAAGAAAGTGAGATGCATAAAGAGAAGAAAAAACTCAGGAAAGTCCCCAAGTCTTGTCAATGCCGAAACCTGCTGAATATTGGATTCCCTTTCTAAAGCATCCATGAGTTCTCCCCCACAGTTGCCGTGGAAACATAGCTCTGTACTCTGTAGCTAAATTTACTGCAGTATCCCTCACTCTCACTTCCATGAAGCTCAGTTTCATTGATTTAAGATGTGGGTTTTATCTCTTGTTGATTTAAAACACAAAAAGCGTATTTCTACTGCATCTTACTTTTGACATTTTAAGATACTCAAACTGTTTTCAATATAACTATTATATTCAATATAATTATCAATATAACACATCATCGATTGAACACAATATATTGTAGTTGCAGTATCTCACTCTAACAACCTGTCAAACTCAAAACAGACATACGTGTCTGTATCGGACAAACGTTTTTCAAACTCTAAAACTAAAACTAATGCCAGGGAGCGAGTTGCATGTCGTACACTCCTAAAAGAGAGAGGGAAGTGGAGAATGAGATTTTATTGTTTCTCTGCAGTATTGCTATAATGTAACTGCTTCTTGCTGGAAAAAGTCACCATGAAATCGCGTTATTATAAATGATTCCACACACACACTTTTTTTAAAATTCAAGGCATTCACTCCCTCTTGCAATGACTTCTCTGAAGTCATTTTTATTTTTTTGAGAAGCTATTTCACTCGGATAAATGTCACAATAGGGAAGAAAAGACTATTGTAACTTCCTTTTCATGCTGACTTTAAAGTTACCATGAAATGGTAATTGCAATCTTCTCTTTTGTCTTTTCTTCCCCACTGTGACGTATATCTAAGTGAAAAAAAAATGTAGGGTGGGACTTGATTTTGTTCATCAGGAATTGATTGGATGGTTGTGGTTTGCTATTGCTGTATCTCATGTGAGTGACAGGTTACTGGAGGGGAGGGATTACTATCCCGCCCTCATGTTGGTTCACACATCATCGGAGAAGTGATGTTGCGAAGTGGTGGGGACATTAATATTTTTGGATGAAAAATTACGAGGGCGCACTAATAAAAAAAATGATGTGCATGGATGAATCATTTTGCTATAAACACTGCATTATTCCAATTCCTAAAAAATGTTCAGTTTTGATTTCATGGGGGTTTTAACGGTCTCCCAACAGGTCTGTTTTGATGGCTTTAGAGTTTTTTTTTGTTTTTTGTTTTTTAAATCAGCCAAACATCATCTTAGCCAGGCTGAAGGACCAGCTTAAACCAGCTAAAACCAACTAGCTTATGCTGGTTTAAATGTTGTTGTTTTTTTCTAGCGTGGTTAGATGCATTTTATTTTCAGCGCACAGTATATCTGTTTGCCTGCTGTGCTTTGTATTACTAACCCCCATGCAGCCTCCAAGAGATACAGAAATCTGCTGACATCATTGTCCAAGACCCACTTGCTGAAGGGAGAGAATGAGGAAAGAGAGAGAGAGGGAGGGGGAGAGCGAGGTTATGAGGCAGCACAGCAGTGAGGAAGGGAGGGGTAATGAAGAGCGACAGAGAGTCCGAATGGGGCGGGCGCTCTCGTAATCAGAGAGAATACTGCAGCTCACGCTCAGATTTCCCATGCTGTTACCGGCGTGTCTCTGCAGTCCCTCTCTCTCTTTCTCACATGCACACTGACATAAATGCACACGCAGTGAACACGGATCTGTATCTTTGCACTGAGGAGGCAACATCCTATACTCGTTTTCTCTGTCCTCAGTTTGCTGGCTCCTGTTTTTTAGGCAGTGCGTCAGAGGCTGTGCTACACGGATATGCCCGGTGAGACTGCGCATCGAAGCGGCCCCACGCAGGGCCTTCTGGACTCTGGAGACCCACAATTAGAGCTGCCAGGACCAGGTAAGCAAATGTACACCCCACTGCATGCTACATGAGGGACAGAGAAGGACATACACGAAGGATGCTCAGCTGAAAGCATGCGTCTAATATATTTATCTGATAGAATAGTGAGCCACACCTAGAAACATCATCCAGCATTGTCCGAAAAGAGCATTGTGTGCGTTAAGTGGTTGTAGTACACACACACACACACACACACTCCTCCTTCCTGCCTGTAATTACAAGAGCATGACACAGCATCACTCTCAGGACCCCAACATTAGTTGGAATCAAGGCTGTTTAGGACAAGTGCATAGGTGTCCATAACATGCCTGCATGGAATAACACTGATCTGATGTAACGTTACTTTGAGATAAGATATTGGTGCTATTTGTTTGTCTATTTGTCGAGGGAATGACACCCATATGTTATGTACGAAAAATAATAAATAACATCGTCAGAGAAGACAGTTGACTTTCCTGAATGTGTGTGTATATTTGAACTACATTTAACCGAGCTTCAACATAAATGGTATTTGTCATTCTATTTTGTGATAATGGTAGGTGGTGACATTTTGGGCACATGGTCCTCGATTTATCACCAATCAGTAAAGTTAAATGTCTTGGTGCAGTGAATGTACCGAAGTTAGTATGCTTAAAGAAATACTTATCATCACCTTCAACATTGATTAATTAGCAAAGAAAGTACAATCTACAAAAAGGCATGGAATTTTCCAGTAAGCATACAGACGGGCGTGTGTTTGAATGAGTGGAAAGATTGCCCTAAAAAAGAGAACCCTCATGTGTGACAGTTTGTCGGCACTATCTTTAGATGACTGAACTAATAAGAAGGAGACCTGGGACAGCGGGCTCGTAAAATCTGTAGTTGTCTCAGTCAACTCTGTCTCTGAATCAGATATGTGTTGAACTGGGCATCACAAAACAGTATGAGGCACGATGGGATGTTTAGTGGTGGGATGGTTGTTTAGTGGTGATAAGGGTGTGGTATTCAATAGCATTTTGATGCTGTTCTGTGTGTAATTTCTATTGTCAGCATTTAAAATTTACTTTTTTGTGCTCAAAAAAAGATTCGGTGCATCAGCTATAATACACACACTTTTGTTACAAAAGCAAGTGCTTTCCATTTCTGATTTATCTTTTTATTCACAAATAATATTTGAAGGCACTGTGAAAGTACCAGACATGTTCTTTTAATTGAATAATGTGTTGGCACTGTGTAAGAGCTAGATAAGCTAAGTGGATGTTGATCGGGTTTGCTTGGCCTGCTTCTATTCAGTCCCTCTCAATTACATCACACACATACCAAGGAACCAGATAGGTCAGACATTAGATCTTCAGACAATTGGGGTTAATGTGTGTTAACAAGGCCAGTTCCATACATATAACCACTTTGAAACTTCAATGTTTTTAGCTATGAAAATATTATCAAAGCCTTAGTTGTTGACAAGTAGCATATTGCACCCGACACAAGAGATCTGCCATTGGGGGATCTATTGTTAAGATAACATGGATGTTTCATAATTTAGATTCACTTGTCTCTAAGGACAATGCATTGTTCAGTCAGCCACTGCTTAATAAAGCCTCTTTACCATTTTGTTTTAAATCTAAATGCATCTCATTCTTCAGCATAATAATTGTCAGTGAATAGAATTTAACGTTTGAGGTATGTTGAAAGCAATGGAAAAGGAAATATTTTATAGAATGCCCCTTTTGCATCAGATATTACTCACCCGACGTGCAGTATTATGTACAATGTAAGAGATGATGATGTTTACTCCCTTCCATGGTTCCAGTTCATGTATACCAGTAAAATCACAGATTTTGGATCCAAAGAGGTCAACTTTAGCACCACCTGCTCATCTACCTGGCATACAGCAGGGGTTTGAGTGAAGGGCACTCAAGAAAGAGGTCAGACACACATACAGAAACATAACTCCATCTGTTGTTTCATTTGAGGAGGGCCTCGAGCAGGTGTAACTTGGAGTAGGACAAAGTGTGCAAAACTTGCTCTGGAAACACATACACACAAACAAACAAAAAAAAAAAGCTTAATTTGAGTCGGATCCTGTTTCAGAAAATGTCATATTTTTGCATTCCGGTATTGTTTTTAAACGATCCGGCATTAGCAAGTGCATTACATTATGACAGTGCGCGCACACGTGTGAGACAGAGCGAGCGCAAGTTTTTTGCAGATGTATTGGAGGTTATGTTTTGCTATTGGCTCTCAACATATATTTTTGACCAATCAGCTTGGACCAATCAAGTTCAAAATCACTCATTGGTTTGTGCTTACTGATTATTTTGTGCGCAGTGAGCAGCAGAAAGTTTGGAGAGTGTATATACCTGACAAAAATATTTTAAGAGGAAATGTTAATATCGGCAAAATGTCAAAAAGACATTCAAGCATATTTCTTTTTTCATATCCGCTAGTAAAGCTGATCCAGATAAGACGAAATGCACCCTTACAACTAATACCAATCAGGATAGCGGAATACCCAAGCAGAAATCGTTGTAATGAAAGATGCAACAACGTTGTCGGTGAAAGAATATCACTGATCAACTGAATGATATTTGGTCTCAATGTAAACAAAATACGTGACAGAATAATACACTAGGGTGTAGGGGCCGTGCAGAAACTTGTGAATGATCTTATTTTACTGTAGTTGTGCCATCACCTTTTAGTGGTGTCATTGTATGGTCAGTGTCGGTCACAGCACCCTTAAATTGTTTTGTATCCGGAAATTATTCTTTTACAAATTAAGCACTGCCCATAAGTGATTTTGCTCTGCAAATGACTTTGAGGCAACAAAGGCCCTTCTCACTTGTGAACACACACACACACACAATGACCGCTTTGCATACAGCTCCAAAACAGTGCTGCCTTGTGCAGAAAAGAGAAGGCATGACGTTATCTTTTTGAATCGTGACTAAGCAGAACAATTAGCCTATAGTCTCACACAACATACTGTCAAGTATGCACATAAATGTGCGATTTAGCTCAAATGGTTTAGGTGATGTGTATACAAAATGATATACATTATTATGGCCCAATAAGATGGATCTGGCCTGTGGTGATGTTTTTAGGACACAGAAGGAGAGACGAGTGGGAGGGTAAGTAAGATGGTGATACAGAGAGGAAAATCAGAGAGAGAGAGGATTGAAGAGAGTGAGACGCTTCATGAGAAGGGCAAAAAAGACAATGGCCAAATGAGAAAGGAAAGGTTTTGGTAATAATCCGCATTCTGTTGTAAGGTTATTGTAATGCTGGGAGAATTTAGGAGATTAAAGTGAGGAGGAGGAAATAATAATAAGATAATAGCGGCTCCATTTTCTTACCGACAAACCTGTCAGATAATAAGTGCAGTGGGTGAAGACAGGAACTACTCTGTGCTAATCATGTAAGAAAAATGCAACGCATACAAATAAAATGCACTGAATGTCATGCATTGGTTGAGTGTAATGAGCAACATGACTATCACAGCCTTTTGCAGCTATGAAAGCTGACATTCCCATGCTCTTTTACAAAGTATAAAGATATTTTTAAACAATTATCCTCAATTAATTATCTTAGTGCATGTACTCAACACTTAACACTTAAAAAAATCCAGCATTGCTGGTCACCAGCATACGGTATGTTTTGCATGTTGGGACTAGTATGGGTTGCTGGTTGCTGGTCCCCATCATGAGAAGCGAAAGTGCTGGTGAACCAACTACACAAACTGAGTTTTACTTGAGAACAGTATGATTATGCTGGTCCACCAGTTAGACCGTCACTGTCAGCTCCAGTATAAACTATATGTCAGTATAAACCAGCCTGGACCAACATGGAATTCATGCTGGTTTATGCTGGATTTTTCAGCAGGGTTTCCTATTCTAATTGTCTTTTTTAACTTTTCCATCCTTCATGTATACATTGTGTGTGGATCACAGCGATGTTAGAAATCTAGAGAGGAAAAAGAGATTTGTGCTGACCCTGCTTATTTTGCTCTTTTTAAAATCCATGCTGTCAATCTGAGTTTACCATGCAGGCAAAAAAGAGCCTTGTTTCCCAAAGACGTCCAATTACTCCACGGACATTAAAATGCTCCCCACGGAGCTGACAATTCAGGCCTCTTCACACCCCCACCAGAAACCCTCACTGTCCTGAATAGAAGTAAAATAGTTTATATTACAGACAGTTCATGATATCTTTAAGTTTAATCCATCTTAGTGGAAAAGCTTATGTAGAAACACTGATACGAAATGGCAGTGCTTGAAGTGGAAAAATAAAGTGTTGTTACTCATCAAAGGGGTGAACCAGTCATTTGTTTACAAAGTGCTATGGGAAGACAAACTATCTTTACTTACATTTTTCTTATACTGAACATGTTCATTTCCTGTCATCTCTTGGAATATCTGAAAGCCAGGTTTTTCCTAATATCTGTCATTAGCAGAAAACATTTTACACATGGGGAATACCAATTGTTTAGTCTAATTCAAGAAGGTCCATACTTTTAAAGCTCTTGATTCTAATTTGTACTTGGCCTTATGATAAAGTAATATAGTTCTTGTAATTGTTTAAATATAGCATTTGTTACAATAAGAATATAATGCAGGTAAGGCCATTGATGGCTCCTTACCATGCTTAGGGCAATGTTAACCTTTTTTCTTTGTTTATCTATGGGATGTTTATGAAAAATAGCAACCTACACAGTTAGAAACTATAGCTATGACATACCAGTTGTATATCTTTAGTGAAAAATCTATTTCCCTAACAGATTATCTAGCTATTATAGCTTGAATTCTAGAAGTTAGTCAAAATTTACCACAATAAATACAATAGAATGTGATCAATTCTAGTAAAGTAGGTCATGAGTAGTTTAAAAAGCTTTTTAATTTAAGTTGGTGCAGGATAATGTTTTCGTTAAGTCTTTTTAGTGGCTATTTTTTAGATCATGTTCAACTTTCTCTGTAGCGTTTTACATTCTCAATAGAATTGGAATAGGTTGCACATTTATTATCAGTGTTGCGATAGGAATGCTTGTGCAAATCTTATCACACTTTTGGAGCGCGCTGGTGAACGTGCCTACAGTGATTTGCTTGCAAAATTAAACCATTGGGCTTTAGTCACAGTGACCGCCATATTGCGCAGATAATTGATCCGTTTAGTTATAAACTTATAAAAGCTCAGAACGCACAATGTATACAATTCATTAATAGCCTGATTCAATATTTTGGTGTGGCTTGCCAGAGTACCGGCAACATGTGAGAAGTTCTGGTACGCAAGAAAAAGCGAGAGAACGCTACAGGTTAAAATACAGATGTGCTGGTACTGCGTACTAATGTGTACCAGCCCACTTCGAGCACTGCCGAATGGATATCCATTACAACTTAAGTATTTTTGGCCTGTACTGTTATCCCACCCTATATTACAGTACTTTTGGATAGAGCTGCTATAGTTGTCATACCTTAGAAAACTGGAATTAATTTGTTTTTCTGGATTTATTTCATACAGTCCACTTAAACACTTTATAGCTGCAGTTCAGATGATCTTTTGCAATACTATATTGAATATAGCTGCAGGTAAGATGATATTTTGCAATACTGTATTGAATATTTCATACAGTGACATTTAACTGGGACTACTAAGAGAGGATTCATGTTTGGGGCAACATAGATGGATCAAACTGGACACATCCAATTGATTTCTTTAAAGTGATTTTATTAGGCATTGTCAAATAAAGATTTTATCCCCAAAAAAATCCATGCAGAAATGTCAAATTCAATAAATCTATGCATATTTTCATATATGCAGCTAAATGTAGTAATTATTTTTCATCCAATCTTAGATCTCTCTGGTCAAACATCCAGCTCTTCAGCCTCAACTCCAACAGACAGTGCCTCCAGTCCTTCTCCCAGCAGCCCTCCAAAACTCTCCCCACTATGTACTCCTTTTGGACCCCGTCTGGTAATGGCCAAACCAACCACTTCTCCTCGCCCACAGCCTGAGGGTGCAAGTTTTGAATTAGAAGGGCATTCTGGAACTTTCGGCCGACCAATGGGGCGGTTTGGGAGAGGAGGCTGTAGACGAGGTCCTATGAAAATGGAACGGATCAAAGTCCTAACTGGATCAGAAATAGAAAGTGACTTTCAAGAGCCAGAGACCATGGACTCAAGGGTGGTAATGGGGCAAGAGGCTTTGCTTAGAAACATGGAGACACAGAGTGGAATGCTGCTAGGAAAACAGATAGGTCAAGAAATGTCTAGTTCAGGACACCAGCCCTCAGAACCCTCCAAGAAAGGTCATATCGGACTGGATGAAAAAGCAAAACTAGACACTGGTCAGGTGAGTTCTATTGTAGATCAGGGTAAGAGTTTTACTTCAGTCCCAGAACAGGAGAAAACCATAGGTCAGACACTTGAATGTCAAGTCCTAGAGTCCAAAGTGAGAGATGCCGAATTGACAGACAGCAGTACTCTTTTCCCAGACAATGAGGGAGAGCCATTGTCTTTATCTCAGGGTGAAGTGCCTTCCTTGTCATTTTCCGAGCCTCCCTATGTTGTTGACCCACAACGTATTGGTGTCCTTCCAGGACTGGATCCTGATCGCTACTATACAGCCCCTTCCACCCCCATTAAGATGGCTTACTGCTCACATCTCAAGCAACAATGGCGCCCAGGGAGCCCAAGCCAAAGTCCGGGCTCTCCAACTGATGAGTCTGATCTGTGCTCCCCTCCTACCTCTCCCTCTGGCTCCTACATGACTGCTGAGGGAGGCAGCTGGACCTCATACACCTCCAGCACCTCCCACTCCTGCTCCCCAAACTTAACAGCTGAGACAGAGTTGCAAGAAGCTCCTGCTTGCTACGTTGGGTCCCTCTCAGAGATAGGCGATGAGCTTGGAGATGAGCGAACTGGTAACGAGAGGGATGTATGCCTGGATAAACCTGATATGCCAGAGTTGCTGGAAGATGTGGCCTGTGAGGTGGATATACTAACAAGAGACACATGTAGACCTCATTGGGTGACAGAACATGTTTCTATACAAGAGAGCAGCAGCAGCAGCAAGAGAAACACAGACTACCAACAGGACACAGGGATACCCGAGGGCTCTCTGAGACCTAGAGATTTCCAGAGAGCCCCTGATGGAACTCAAGGCTTTAATGATCCACATTACAGTCTTGAAATGAATTTCAATGCCTGTTTCTCAGAGCCATCTATGAGCCTGGATCCCCATCTAACACCAGAGGATAATGCAACCTCTGCACTTGATGAAGAAAACAAAACCCCTGTCACCCATTCTCCAGAGACTGTAGACGTAGACAGTAATAGCGTATATCTTGAGATAGGATCCTCTGCCCCTCTGTTCCATGGCTACTCTAGGGAGGATGGGCCCGAGAGTGATGCAATGATTCCTGCTTCTATGTTGCCTTTCCATGGAAGCCTGATATTCCAGGCAGATTCCATGGATATAACCCTGTTCCCCACAGATGATGAGCAGGGAAATGTGGATGCATATGCTGCTGGAGAGGAGGAAGCCGATGTAGATGAGTATGATGATGAGGATGATGAAGATGAGTGTGACAATGAAGATGTGAATAATGTCAATGATGCTGAGCAGAAAGAGGCAGCTTTAAGGGGTGAAAGAGTGGAAGACCCAAATGAAGATGACACCTCTGCATCTTTTCTAAATTCCCTTTCAGAGAACTCAATAAATGAGGGTGTAGATGAGTCCTTTGCTTATCCAGATGACACTGAGGAGTCAATTGATTCCACATCTTATAACGGGGATGAAGATGACCATCTGTACTGCACAGAGAAGCATGCTGAACTCTCCCAACAGTTCCCTGGGCCAGATGAACCTGTGCAGTCAGTAAGCCATGCAAAACCTGAATCCACTGGCAGTGAGAGCGAAATGGAGATATCCTCCGAATCATCTGAGCTTCTACATGTACAATTGCAAGAGAATCTGCCAGACTGCAATGTTCATGATGAAAGTGTTGCACAACAAATTTCAGAAAAAAAGTTGTTGAAGGGTGAGCTTTCAAAAGGATTGACTGTACAGATCAAAACAATGGATGAGCAAGGCAAACTGAGTACAGATCCCTCAACAGTCATGGTAACATCAGATAATCCAACATCATCTGTTGATCAAGACAAAGTAAAGCAAAATTATAGTACAAATGACTCCTGTGGGGCAAGTGCTGCAGCTGCTGACATGTGCTACGAGACTAACGTAGGTGATAGCCAGGAACTGGATCATAAAAATGGAAATAGCTTGGAGTTGATGGACACATCATTGCAGCTAGCTGAAACTGCTACCAATGACCTAAATAAGGGAGTCCCCCAATTAACATACCTGGATGAATGCAGCCCCACAAACATTCCAGTTTGTGCCTATCCTGAACTGTGTGAGGTACCAGATAACTTAACTTCAGCTGATGTTTTACCATTTGAAGGTTCCATGAATCAAGATAATCTGACAGAGAATCAACCTAGCAATGATAATGTAAACCATAGCTCTCAAAATATGTCCTGCTCCACATACAGCAGACTTGTAATTTCACCAAAGAAAGAGAACTTTGAGAGCAGCATTACAGAAAGGGAACTTTCCTCTGAGAGTTGGACATCAAGGGATCCCTTGTCTTTAGGTGAATGCTGTGACTTTGAGGCTGAAAATCTGCTCATGTGTGAGATGGCTAGATCAGTGCACAGTAAGGGTTTGTCTGTGGCTCATAACATTGCTGCTGGAGAAGACATCATGGGTGACGATGAGGACAACAACCAATATTGTGACCTCCAAGAGAAGATGACAGACATTGATGTTGGTGTGGTTGAGTCAAACATTGCCAGCTGGAGGTCGATTCAAGATCTTTCAGAGGCAGGAGGGGGTGAGGATGATGCAAATAACCTTCAAAATCCAGAGAGCAATCCGCTCATACATTGCAGTTCTGATAAGGGTCTGGTGTCATCGTGGAATGATCCAGAAAAAACTTGCATACCCCTAATTTTGAGTGGTCCATCAGAACTTGCATTGAATATGCTTTCAGATGATGGGAAAGATGTGAAAGATCAAACTCCAAATACAGACTTCAACATTCCAGAGGATTTATCTTCAGACACAATAAGGAGGGAACGTGCTGAAATAACTTCTGAACAGCCTCAGGATCTGGAATATTGTCAAGAACCTGATAATGTCACATTATCATCAACCATTTTCCATGAACACACTGATCTCTGTGGATCTTCTTCAAAAACACACCTTTCCAACCAATCAGATAATCTTGGCCTAGTTTCAAACCAGGGTCATTCAAATTCTCAACAAATTACCCAAACAAACACTGACTCTGTCTCGCAAAACAAGCTTGCATTCAACTTGCAAGGGGGATCGTTTGGCACCTTCACATTCAGAAAGAAACCAACTGATATAAAGCCTGTTGACTCCTCAGAAGCAACAGTTCTCCAACAAAGTTCTGTCTCACATAAAGGAACAGCAAATTCCAATGATGGGGCTTCAATTGAGGTTATGGTTGAGAAAGTATTTCAATTGAGAGCAAACATCAAAAATGAAACTGTAAAAGATGAACCTAAACGCACTGACAGACAACTTCTTGAACAAGAGACTACAACTGGCCCTCAGGATCAGGAGAGTGAGAAAGTTGACTCACTTGAGAGGGCAGAAAAAGGAACAAAAACATGTCAAAAGAGAGAGGCACAATATTTTACAGAGACTGTTTCTTTTCTGGAACAGAACAAAAAGAGTGACGGTGATTCAGATAAATCAGGACTTTTTCAAGCTGAGAGTGATGAGGCAACACTAAAAACAGCACATAATGCTAATTCAGGTCATGCCACAAAACCAAAGGTAATTGATCCCCTTAAAAGCAGCATTGCCGTTTTAGCCTCAATGGATAATACAAAGATCCAGTGCCAAGGAAAGGAAATGGAGACTACAGGTAATCAAGCGGCAAGCTTTGATATATATTCAATGAGAGAGGAATTTGGTGAAACTCAGCATAAAGAGGATGTCTCTAAAGCAGAGAACACTGAACCTGTTCAAACACCAGAACAGTCCATTTTTCACTCTCCTGACCCTAGCTGTATTGATCCAAATGAGTCTGTTCATACAGAGCCAGTGGTTGCAACTCAGACGACAGACCTTACAAGGCCAGATGGGCAGAAAGAACTTTCAGACAGTTCTTTGAGCAGTGCAAGTTTGACAGAAAGCACAAGAGACATCAATGACAATCACGTAGGGGGCAGTTCATCCCTCAGGGTGGACAGCTCAGAACAAGACAGGGTCTCTCCCACATGTTCATACACAGTTATCCAGGAGGAGGATCTCTCTACCCCCATTCAGGAGTCACAGCCTGTCCATAACATTTCCCAAACATCTGCCATCTTCTCACATATTCAACCAGCTCCAGATAACAAACCCAGCCAGCCTGACTCTGAAAGTCCCCTTCCAACCACTGGAATATGCAATATGGAATTAGCAGCATGGGAATCTGTGGAACAAACACAGACTTTGCTTCTTATTCAAGACGCTTGCCATCATGAAAGTCAGAGAACAGTCATGACAGCAAAACCATGCAGACGTGAGAACCCTTCAGGTAAACTTTTTCTTGTTTCTTTAGGGTTTTTTTTCATCCTAGGAATTCCTAGTATTTAACTATATACATGTCATGTGTTTGTCTTTAGTATGTATGGGACACCAAACAGAACAGTGCAAACCCACAACATCCATTGGACAGAATGACAGTACCCCTGCCCAAAGAACACTGAATCAGTCAGATGAAAGAGAGACCCTAACCTGCATCAGTCCAAGACCAGACTCCTTGGTAAAAACTCGGCAAAACCAAGCTGAGCGACAGAGTATAGAGCAAGTTATATACCCAAATAGCTACAGATCAAAAGAGGACGTGGATCTCCCCTTCAAAAACAACAGTATGTGCATCATCTGTTTTAGCCATAAGGCATTAGCATCTGTTTTAGCAATAAGGCATTAGCATCTTTCTCAAGTATCTTCTTTATGGCTTCTAGTAAAGCAAAGCAGTTTTAGTGTTTAACTTTTTCTGTCTTTTAGTAGGTTCAGGTAATGAAACAGACAGTGATGGTTCAGTGCCTGAGCTTGAGGAACCCAGTGGGACATTGCAACGACCCTCAAATCCACAGGTGAACTGTAGATTGATGACCCACCATCTTAAACTGCAGTACAGATGTAACCCACACTCCCAAAAAAAAAAAATTGGCTTAACTTAAATCCATAAAATTACACATCAAGCTATCCCAGCTGAGTATCTTAGTCAACAATTAGCTAACATAGGAGAAGCACGTTAGCATACTAAATGTTACTTCGTTTTAACCATATGTAACGTAACGAAAAATGATTGTACTGGAATTTGCTTATTGAGTAAAGCAACATGCATTGCATACTTTATCTACTTGTTCTCAACCGAAGCAGTAGCTCCACTCTTCACCACTATGGTAAAAGTCAAACAAAACATTTTTTTTTGTAAGTCCCTTTATAAAAATTACTTTTTTGTTTTCAAAACTTATAAAATAAGTCTTAATTTCAGCATTTACACTCAGCAGTTTCACTAGCTCGTTTGAATTAAATTTAACTAGCAGCAAAGATCACTTTTGAGTGCAGCACAGAGCATAAGCCGGAGGCACAGCAAAGATGTACTTGTATGTGTCATTGCAAAGTAAAATTCTGCAGCATTTTATTCAGTGTTTCTATCTAGTTAAGTGTACTGTATGAACAATGTTAGGACCTACCATGCTCTCTTTATACTTCATATTTTCATCTTTTCTCTTACAGTTATCACACTCTCTTGCTGATGAGTCTGTCAGCAGAGCTAAGCAGAGTCGAAGTGAGAAAAAAGCACGAAAGGTGGGACTGCACATCTACAAGCACATTTCATGCAACTTTAAGATTCACTGTATGGTGCACAAAATCTCTGACATACTCTCTTTTTCTCCATGTGGTTGTTATCATAAGGCGATGTCAAAGCTTGGGCTGAAACAGATTCACGGAGTGACACGCATCACCATTCGGAAGTCCAAGAACATTCTCTTTGTTATTACACGTCCAGATGTGTTCAAAAGCCCTGCCTCAGATATTTACATAGTCTTTGGAGAGGCCAAGGTTGGTCTTTTCCAATAAAAAAAAAAAAACAATGCAATAAAAAGCTGGCAACAAATTCCTACAGAATTCCTTGCAAAAGTAATGTTTAAATATTTATATCTTGATCTGTGTTCATTAATCTGGGCTTCCGGTCTGTCTCTTCTTCTTTTTTGTAAGATCGAGGACCTCTCACAGCAGGTACACAAGGCAGCGGCAGAGAAATTTAAGGTTCCTCTTGACCCCTCACCTCTGCCATCAGACATCACTCCAAGCCTGACCATAAAAGAAGAGAGTGAGGAAGAAGAGGAGGTATGAATTCTTCATTTCCTCCACGAAAGGAAAAGATCAGCCAAAAATGAACATTTTGCCATTATTTACTCACCTTCATTCATTTCAAAACTTTGAGTTTCTCTCCTCTATGGATGAAATAATACCAGAAGTAAATAATGACAGAATAATTTTTTTGGGTGAACCTATATGCTTGAATGAATTAAGGTGAACAACATTCTCTTTCTGTTTGTAAGCTGGATGAAGGTGGGCTGGAGCAGAGAGATATCGAGCTGGTGATGGCACAGGCCAATGTATCTCGAGCTAAAGCAGTCCGCGCACTGCGCCACAACAAGAATGACATTGTCAATGCCATTATGGTGAGAGATTGTTTTTGTATTAAACATTCAGCATTTGTACATCTAGTGTTATACATACTTTTACACTAGATTTCCTCCAAGTTCAAAATTTAAACCAAAATCCAAATTCAAAATCCAAGTTTAAACTGCACTATAAAAGAGTCCCTGTTACATGTATTATGCTTCTTTTGGACCTCCCATGAACTATTATTGTTCCTAAATTAAACTATCCTGAACCCTCCATTTGGCATTTTTAACTGTGAAGACATAATTTAGTCTCTTTTATTAAATCAGTGATACGGTTTACACGTTTTAAATACAGCGATAGGTCACAAACACGCCCTTTGATTGTTATTGATATTTCACCTTTTCTGTCTGTTCTTAGGAGCTGACCATGTAAGAAAGGAAAAGACATCTTCCCCGCCCCTTGCGTGTTTTCTTTCCCAAGTAATGCTGCTATACTGCACCCTCCTGCTGAAATAAATCTGTTACAACCAGAGCTGTTCGTTTCCCAACATTATCTACAAATCACATAAATGCACCTTATAGACAAATGTATAGTCATACATTTTGAACATACACACTTTTAATATTGCCTTAATGGTGCAGATGGTAGATCAGAGGAATGTAGAAATAAAAGCTTATGTCCTCAAAACTGATGTTTTGAATCTGACCTGAATATTTTCTTTTAGAACTTTCCCCTGGGGTATATGCATTTATCTTGTCTTGCAGAAATTGTGCATATGGCACTAAATTGATTATAAAATTGTAATTGAGCAAATTGTACAAATTGTGTAAACATGCACTGACATCTGACTATTTGAACACTTTCCATTTTAATTCATATTAATATACAAACACATAAGAATAATCAAACAAATACTGAAGAATGACCATAAAGGGATGAATGTTACCAAAACTGATTAGATATGCGTTCACTTGATTCATAAAAATCATTTCTAATACTGTTATGCTGACATCCACATACCCAAGTATGTGGCCCACAATGACCTTACCACTATGAAAGTATAATTTTGAATTAACTGTATAACTAGCATTAGCTATAACACTTTAGGTTTAACATAAGCCTCTTCGTATTCAAGTTAATAAAAGCCTAAAAATGAAAAGTTATGCTCTTTATTCAAGTAAGACCTGTTATCTAAGGCAACCAAAGTCTGCGCTGTGCAGTTGCTGTTTGATCCTCCAGGTGAAAGTCTCTCCAATTGCAGCTGTTCCCTGTCCTCTTTCTTTTCCCCTCCCTACCTTTGTTCTCATTATGTCCAGCTACATTTGGATCAGCTTTTAGGGGGCAGGACATTGGCCTGGAAGTGGCCCTGATTGGTAATGTTGCCGGCAGGGAAATAACGTGCCACTACGAAGGTAGAACCATCTGAGGCCACAGCTTTACCCACACCGAGTTTCTTCGAGCTTTTCCACACTACTGCAGTGAAGTGACCTAGAACAAAAAGATGATTCTTACATCAATTGCTGTGTTTTGTAGCAAGGATCAGTATGTCTGTGTGGTTGTCACAAAGTGTTTATGCATGTTTGACTCACATAAACCATGTGGTGGTTATGTTAGTGTTCCGTTAAATATTTATACCTTTAGAGACAGAGTGGATACATTTGAGTGGAATGAGGGACTCTAGTACGTTTTATTCATTTGGCAGATGCTTATTTGAAGCTAATTACTGGTGATTTCATCACTTTGTTTTCCCTGCGAATCAACCCAACAGTTTTGGATTTGACAGCACCAAACTCAACCAACTGAGCTACAGGATCACCCGTTCCTAGATTCCCAACCACATATTTACAGATTTAGAGTCAGCACCAGGGTTGTCAGGTCTGCACAACAAAACCCACCCATTTGCTAATCAAAACTTGCCCAATCGCATTCCAGGCTGGGAGGTTGTGTCCCCTTGGTAAAAATATCTTTCTGGGTGGGGGTCGCTTGAACCAGCGGACTACAAAAACGACCTGTGGAAAAGTATCCCAATTCTGCAGGACAACCGCAGACTTCACAACACTGGTCAGCACAGATGTTATCCACTATCTATACAGTCACTTCAGGGCCCAGTTGTTCAAAACGTTTTAGAATTTAGAAGTTTTAGAATTATCTGGATTTGTAATCCCATGTTTTGCTATCCAGGATCAGGTAATCCATGTTACTTTTGTGCTGGTTTTTCAAAGCAAAATTGAATTGGATCAGCCTGATCCAGATAAAAAGATTACTAGTGACATGGTCATGGAAAGTTTCATGTAACGTTCTCCCGAGAAACTTTCGCTTGCAAAGAACTTTTGACTGGTTCATCTCTTATGATTGTGCCAACGTAGTTTACAAACAGTAATTAGAAAAAAAACACTTTAAATTAAAAATAATATTTTTGTTTGATATTTACAGCAGTTTGGGGGATTATTTTATAGCGCCAAAATCTGAAAGGCTATAGGTAGCCTAATGTCTACTTTCAATTTATTACTTTAACAGGTAAACTAATCAAGATAAAAATAAAAAAATGTGTGTGTATTTTTTTTAACCAGTTTTAAAGTTAATACATTTTTGTCTGTGAAATCCAGGGTTTTTTTGTATCAAAAGGTATCCCAATCTTACTAAAAAAGTAAGACAACACAGACTGATGATTTGATCTAGATCAAAACCAAGATTGGATTTTGTGATCTAATCTGATTTCAGAATCCTTTTTTCTTTTTTTTTCTTTTTTACACATCATTTTCTAGATTTGATCCAATCCGATAGCTGAAATCTGATCAGATTACTTTTTAACAACTGGGCCTAGAGGATTTTGCATCAACTGCTGTAAAATTGGGAACCTTTCGAATATGTTCTGCCCTCTTGAGGTGGTGAGTAATATTACTTATTTCCTGCTGGTTGAAGCTGATGACAGGCTGATGACATCTGCAAGCGAGACATCGCAATATTAAGAGACTTTTCCTATCTGAATTTTAATGGGGAATTTCCTGTGCCTGGGAGGGCTTTGTAAAGCTTCATTCCTAAAGGATGAGTCACATATGAGGACTTAAAATAAATTAAAAGGAAAATATTCCAGAATGTGGTATTACACTGACTGGGCCAAACTTATCAACTGTATGTGTTTGTATTGTATTTGGTTGCACTAAACCAACAATCCTGTTAATGGAAATCAACATTCATGCAAAGTTTAGTTTAATGCTAAATTACTTTGGACACTACAACAAATATGAGCAGCAGGATATGATGTCATGCCCTAGTGCTTCTGTTTTTAATAAATTAATAATACATTTGAAATGTTAAAGTCTTTCTGAACTGGAAGTTGTGACCCAACTTCAGTATTGTGACCTATTTCAGAGAGGAAATGTAATATTGAATCAGAAAAAATAGAGGGCAGGGCCTGATTTTAGTTCACCTCTTCACCTTTCTCTAGCGTTTAAGGATGTTCAGCCCAAGCTGTCAAACTCACGTCATCAGATAAGGAACGCCATTCCTGATGGGAAGCTAATATTCACATTTTTAATAAAGACTATGCAATCCACTACACTTTTTTATGCAACACTGCAAACCATTTAGATTTCAATTTTGTATTTCTGTGTACTGAGCCAAGAGGTCAATAAATGGCATTTACATTCTTTCCCTACTAAAAAGAACATCTTAAACCAACCAAAGCTGGGGGTTTTTGTCTTAGTTTTTGCAGTTTCTGGTTATTTTAGAGGGGTTTTGGGCAGTTTTCAGCTGCTCAGGATGCATGGAATGGGAGTGAATAAAGTGCAAAGTTCTATGACTGCACAGAAAGACCTTAAGTTGTTGGTTTAGGTGTGTTTGATAAAAATCAGAACTAAACTTTGCAGGTAGATTGATCTCCAAGAGCAGCAGTGCTGTAAATACTCTTACCAGTTGCAGAAGAGAATCCTGGCTGGTTGAAGTTGTACTGGTTCACTTCATTATACCAGCGATCAGACACATCTTTACCTGTCGGCACATGCACACATACATACATTCAGTTACGATGAATTTCAAGTTAAATTCATCCAACATGCCTTATTCTGCATAATGTTTCTGAACATTTTTGCAATGCGGTTGTTGAATTATAATATTAAACTGGTGATTCCAAGAAACAACTTGAAGCTAAACTTCATATGACCCACTATACGTTTAATGACACTTTACAAATCACCCCAGACTGGCCAGACATTCCATCCCACTTAGTAATCAACTTTAGACCGAACAGGGAGGTAGTCAGTTCATAATGAGTTCCAGCTGTTGAGAAAAGGAGAGCACAATCTGTCTGTGCTATTATATCTATGTAAATATGTGTCAGATGGACACTTTGAGGCAGAAGACAAGGATTTGTACCTGTTTGATCATAAGATGCCCATGCTAAATTTTCTCCACAGTTTCCTCTACTAGACTCAGCACTGTGCTTCAGAATCCTGGTGCTAGCAAGGCTCTCAGCATATCTGCAAGAAATGCATTCAGCTGAATTGAAGGGCATTACACTGTAGTGAAGATGAAAGTAATGTCAAAAGAAAAGAAACGTCTGGATTTAGAAGACAAGAAATGAGTAGCAAAGAGCAGAGCAAGCATATGGGAGAAAAGGCCTCACCTTGCTGCATCACGGCTCAGTTTACTGCTGAGTTTTAAAGGTGGGGCTTGATGTTTCCTCCTGTAATCATTATGAGTCTTCAGCACCTCCTCACAAAAAAGCCTGGAGGCTGCAAAATGAAATGAAAATGGAAAGCAGGGCAACTATTTATTCTTTGCTAAAACTCAACAGATACAGCCTTAATTATTTATTACTCAAAGCTAATACTAACTTGACTATAGAAACAGAGATGCACAAACTACTTCCCATTAAGTAAGTGCCCACTGTCGCCTTTGGCTTTTGGCTTGCTTAGTTGGGGACATTTAATATTCAACAATATTATTGATCTGCCTGCATTGACACCATTATATGAGAACTGAACTGAGCTGGACGATGACATCACTGTTTTCTTCAGAGCGGCTATATATAAATTAACTAAATTAATAACTTTTTTTACAACAAAAATTAACCATCACTGAACTTACTTAAGCTGGACTTTGACGCTATTTTCTTCTAGATCTGCTGTACGGCAGAAACAAACTTTTTTGCATTATTTTCCTGTTATCACTGTAAAGCTGCTTTGAAACAATCTGTCTTGTAAAAAGCGCTATATAAATAAAGGTGACTTGATTTGAGCCAAAGTTGGCCCATGATGTCCTTTGATTTGGCCCGCCATGCCATATCGAAAGAGTGGAGGAAAAAACACGCCACTGAAGGATATCTTCAGGTTTTTTTTTATTTTTTTAACAAAGTTTTGTTTTAACAAAAGATAATTTTATGTTTTATTTTTCCATTGAAATGTATTTTTTATGTACATTTTAATATAACATTGGATATAATGCAACATTTACTTTCAGCCCATAGCCCTAAATCAAGTTTGATTTTTGGGCCTTCAGGGTGAAAAGTTTGGGCACCTCTGAAATAGAAGGAAAAATAAACTATGATTAACTTTGTAGCCTGTTAATGCTCGTATCCTCTATTATTTTACACAAATCGACAAGTTATATCCACATGTCTTTGGTCTTTCTGAGTTGCAAAAATAAAGTCTGATTATATGTGTACGATTTTAGTGTTCTAGAAGTAATATTTCACCATAAGAATAAAATGGTAAATGGTTTCATTTTAGTCTATTTTTGATTTCAAAATGTATTGCTTTACTGCAAACAATTTAATCAATTGAAATATTTTAAATAACTTTAATTGTTTTAAACAAACAAAATTAATTATAGAATATATTTTAGAACTTTTGTCAAATAAATGTAGTTTTAATAAAGTGACTGAACGTTCGGATAATGCTTTAAATGATGGCAAAAACTATGTTCTATTCGCAACAACTTTTAGTCTGGACAAATGTTGCCAAACAATTGTGCTTGCCACTATTGCAGAGGCATAAATCCAACTACATGATGCAATTGCTCAAACAAAGCAAGGATTGAGTAGCTAACAATCCCCACACACACACTTGGCATGATAAACCTGGCATATACTCAACCTGTGCTGACAAAACATCATTCAAGAGCAGAGGATGGCAGTGACAGAGACTGAAGAAACTATGTATTTGACAACATCACAGATGCTAAAGCGAGACATGAATTTAGAAGTGAATTGTGCATTTACCTGACTTCCCCATGGTAAGAAGACTCCTCTAAGCAAAGCTCCTGCTAGTAGAGTTCCCTCACTGTCACAGTACCTGCCAGCTGTTACAATACTTCACTCTTTTCCCCCACTCGTTTCTTTCTCTGCCTCTTTCTCTCCTGTGTGTTTTTTTTTTTTTTCAGTTTAACCCAGTAGCATCTAATTCTTCATGCTCTGGAAGCTCTGAAACAGCACGTAAACAGGTTACAAACAAGCTTCAGTTCACTTCTTTATATCATTCTCTGTGAATGTATCTTCGTTTCTTTCTCTTTCCTCTTCACCACACCTCCTCCACTTTCTATCTCTCACACTGTGTGCAGGGCAAAGGAGATTCTCCACTCAGGACTGTGGTGATGACATCATCTGTATGAGCCAAGTGGCCTTATATGGTGTTGCCATTGCTGCTTTCAGCTGGAAGCATTGAGCTGAAACCAAGCCCAAGAGCAAACACTTGAGTTAAACCCTGTTTTATACAGTCTATGGTCAAACCACATACAAACCAAGAGGATGCAAGTGCTGCACAAGATGTTAAAATATTAAAAACCAATCCTTAGATGAAAGAGTAATAGATTATTATCTGAAATAAAAAATTTAAGTTCAGCTCCTATTTTTTAACCGGTGAAAAGTGTGATAGAGGACAAATGCCCAGTTTCACTGACAATGCTTAAGATACAGTAGTCCCAGACTAAACTGCAAGTTTGAGCTGTTTTAACTGAAAGCAACTTGCACTGACTTATCTTAAAATATGTCAGTGCCATTGTTTTGTCTCAAGATGCACACCAATGTTTTTTCTAAGGCATGTTTATAAAAGCTACTTAAATGTCCTTATTAAACTAAGACCTAGTCCTGCTTAGTCTGTGAAGCTCAGTCTGTGAAACCAGGCCAAAGTGCCAAAATCCAATAATAAATCATAAATCTGGTCTGTTTTTATTGGTTATGACTGTCATTATCTATTTAGAGTGTGCCCCTGACCTTGATGCAGTCACGCATTGCATTTCTTTTATTATTATTCACTATTTAAAGAAACATGAAAGTGCCAAAGGGTTACTAGCAAGTGAACTACTGAGGTGTAGTCATATTTATTTGATTAGCAATAGAACAATTTGACATCAAGTCACATCACTGATCAATGTTCTGTAAGATCAGATTTAAATTGGTTTAAACTGAAGAGATTTTAGTGCAATAAGGCACATTTAATGAAAGACATTTGATTTAAGTAAAATATGACATTTTTTAAACATGATAAAACATTAAAGAAAAAAAAACACATTTAAAAATTAAAGTAATAATTTAAAAAAAAACAGGTTTTGGTTTAAAGAAATGTGACAAATTACTGATTGGACGAACAGTGCTGGGTAGATAACTTACAAATTGTAGTCCGTTACTGATTCCAGATTACATGAGAAAAAATGTAGTTAGCAACATAATCTATTACATTACACATTTTAGGTTGTATACCACTTTTTGATTACTTTTCACAATGACTTGAATAGGATTATCTTGTACCATATTGATATAAAAATACAAAGAGAAAGAAAATATCTTTATCTTTCCCTTCCTGTTCATAGTGATCAAATGCTTTGTGCCCTGTCAGTTTTCCCTGTAATCATAGCCACCTGTCTAGTGTCTGGTTTGTGTGTGCAATTTCACAAAACTAGAAGATTTTCTGAATATATAAATTATATGCTTTTTTAGCAAGGACATTTTTTAACTTGAAAAAGAATCAATAAATTATGAATTAATGCCATTGTATGAATAATGTGTACTTATGTAATCAGTAAAAAAGTAACTGTAGTCTGATGAGTATTTTAAAACATAATACAATCTAATTACAAGTACTTATTTTTTAGAATATGATTACGTAATCCATATTACATGTCATCAGTTACTACCCAGTGCCAGTACTGAGGGCGAAGCACTGACCCAATAGCTTATAGAAGCTCGAAATCCAATGTGAACATACATCCAATACAGAAAAGTTTATTATATATCAAACATTTATATTATATCATTGCCTAGGTTTCTGCATGAATGCTAAAATGTGCTCCATTATTCCCTTAATTATGAAGATCAGTGCAAAGGTCAAACAAGACAATAAAACATCAAAGAGATTATGCTCTATCTAGCCTAGTTAAACATGTTTAGGATAACTGTTGCAAAAGTTTGCAAACTGTGTGTTGCTGCATCATTATTTTTGTAATTCCATGTGAATGTATTATCTGCATGGTGTGCTTATCTCCAACCACAACACTACAAACCCCAACCCACACTGGCCTTAAGATCAGTTAGTATACTCTCAGCCTCATGTAAACTCAATTTAGGCTCTTGGGGTCTCAGAAGATAAGGCTTACACATTTCACACACATTCACTCTTTTAAACAGCCTGTCCTGGTCTACACTCAGCACCCACCCTGGCTCCATGTGGAAAGCTACACACACATGATCCCACACATAGTATTCTTCTCTGTGATGAGGGCTCACACTAACACTTCTATCGAAGATGTTCACCTCAAGCTTATTCTCGTAGGCTTCAGAGGGGGATTGACAGCGCCACCACATGGCCCCACCATAGTATCCACAAACACCATCACCATGATTTGGAAGTCCAGGATAATGGTCATAAATATCTACGTAACGAGGATGGACTACAACCGTATATTGAATCTCTTTTGGGTAGAGCACCGTCTCATAAACATGCAGAACTGGACTTTGGCCACCACAGAATTGCTTCCCATAGTGCCAAAGAAGCTCTTTAAGTGAAAAGGTGAAGCAAAAGTTTCCATAGGAAGATTTTTTCTGGAAGGCCTTTGAGTTGGTGAAGTGCTCAAGGACGGGCGACTGGTTGCGAAGTTGGGCAGCACTTCGATGAGGGAACAAGGATGTAAGGAAACGCTCTTCAGCTGAGGATATGTCATCAGATGTGACTGATAAATCCCACCAGAGGAAATGGTGCTGATCACTAGCCACCATCTCCGATGGCTGTCTGAAGCCTGAATTGAGAAAAATACCCTTAAGACCTTGTACTCCAGTGACATGAGACACTTTCTGGACATGAAACTCCACAGATTCAGGATAAGCAGGAATGTTGTTCTTATACAGATACTCGTTCTGTATATTAGGCTTTTCTTTTAGGTCTGACAGACTCAAATGCTGTCCTTCAAAATGTGTCCCAAAACATTCTCGTGCATTTTGACGCATCATCTTATTTCTGAAACCAAAGAAAAGACGAGGATTAGCTTATCATCTGTTATAAAAGGTCACACAGGTGGTTAAAAACTATTTTAAAAAACCATCCCGAAAATATACTTTAGTTAAAGAAATAAATAAAGTTCAAATAATGTATGGAGAACACGGTGTAATTTCTTGCAATTCCTGCCTTGTCCTGATTTCGCCTCTAGGTGGAAGCAAAGTTGCTACTTTGCTCAGTTAACTTCTAACCATGCTTCTAACACTATTATGATGATGCTTTATTACAATTATCTTAAACGTCACATATACAGATATCAAAGATTGAAAAAAAAAATCTGTTTAAATAGACACGATGCTTCTTGAAATATTTCATCTTTAAAAATAAATAGGCTGGTCATTATTATGTTCTTTTTCAAATCGGGTTTCAAAAAGAGTTTCATCCATTATGCGTAATTCGGCCTATATAAATATTAGCTGGGCCATATTTAAAGGAACATTAGAAAAAAAAAATAGACTTATGTTTAGGCTTTTCTGTAGGCTATAGAACATTATGTAGCCTAGTTCCAATTCTGCTAAAATGAATAAGATTTTCATACTTTGAGAAGCCATAGTCAGTCATTGTTAACATCAAATGCTTTCAGAGAGTAGATAAATATCACTCTTTGAGTGTTTCTTTTTGAGAGATTTGAGTCATTTCAACTCTTTAGAATTACTGTGATTAGTTACGGTTTAACAGCCTCTAACCGCCTTGTGTCGCGCTAAATCGAGACCAAATACACTACAGTTTACTCACGAACAATAAATCATTTAAACGTAAAGTATCAACTTAATTTTTTTTTTTTTTTTGGCATAGCCTACCTTAGTTATCGCTCGTCAAGTTATGTTGGTTATTCTGTCGTTCTGCTCACGGCTCTGGTTCTGCTGAAAGGGATATGCTTCCGCCCAGTTCCCGCCTTGTGCTTTAAAATAACCACGAAACTTCGAAACTAGAAAGGGCACGTAGTTATAACTAAAATTGTGTAGCATAGATCACTGATCAACAGCTGGGGGCTTGGAAAGTAGTTATAATAATTTAATTTTAGCTCCTTACACACGTAATGGAACCAGACTGGGAAAAGCTAATTCGGTTTTGAACAGTAGATCATTAGACCTGCAACTTTAAGATATTTTACACATTGTGTTGTCCTTTACAGTCTTGTTTAGTTAACATCAGATTAACACAAGGTCAATACCGCAGATGAGGACATTTTCAGTAGGCCTATTGTGAACTCATTTTAATTTCCTGCATCAGAAAGTACACCCCAACATTAACTTTATAGTGCACTGGAAACTTTTTGGTTCATCTTTGTGTAAATAACTGTATATAAAGTAAATTAAAGACAGTCATAAAAGTGTTGTCAGATCTAATAAAAAAAAACATGTATATCTAATTTACTCAATCTTATCATACACTAATCTGTATTTAGCAGTTTAGTTCTGTGCTGGTGGAAATAGTAAATAAAAAATACAAAACCAGAATGTAAATAACTATGTGAAGAAACTTAAATTATAATTATCTGGGTTTCTGCATGAATGTGACGATCTTTTCAGCTAAAGCCAAAGATTAGTGCAAAGGTTCATTTCTCAAATCTACAAACAAAAGGAAATCTATTTAGGTCATGGTGCAAGTAAATACTTCTATAACTGCTGAAGTGTAACTGAAAATGTCCAGTCAAGTCAAGTCAACCTTTATTTCTATAGCACATTTAAAAACAACAGAAGTTGACCCAAAGTCCTTTACAGATCAAGCAAGAAAAAATAAATAAAAACAAAAAGAAGAATTAACTAATAAATATAAAACATAATACAATAAATCAAAACATTTTAATGTAACATCATATATTTTATCAGCTTCAAAAACCCATTCCGTAATCTATATTAGAAAGCCAAAAGATATGTTTTTAAA